AATGCCGAGACATGAACTCACAGTAGGTGGCTCGCTCTTGTACACCCTGACAGGGCAGCCCTCAAAGCATGAATTTGACTAGTATTTGAAACTTGCATCAGGATGCCTGCCCTGTTGCAACGTGTCTCACAGATAACCTGCTCTCCAGCTTCCTTTCTGCCCCTAAAGAGTTACAGTGCAGTTGATTTCCACTCTGTGCATACAGGTTTTTTTTCTTTTTGACCTTCATTTTAATGTCTGAGATCTCTCCTGCTATTTCTCTGTCTTCATTGGGGTTGTAGCAGTTCCCATTGTTACCATCTGTGAATTTCATTAACATACTGTTTATACTGCCTATTCCAGGTCATTAATAATAAAGATATGAAGTCTGGCTTTGCTTACCTTCTCCTGCATGTCTCCCCAGGCACCTGTTCCCAGCTGTTTAACACTGCTTCTTGGCCATTCAGTTCAAGTCAACTGCATTTTTTTTCATATCAGTATTTGTGAGAAAGAGTCAAATACGATACTTAAGAGATCTGTGTATAACATTCACCCTACTGTGCATCATATATATCAAAGTTTGTGTTTATTTAAGTGTGGGAGAATTAGATTTGGTTGACTTAAAGTTCAGATAATCCTTGCGTGGCTTCTTTTCTTGTCTTTGTTCTGTGCTTATTATTTATTTTCTATAACTTGGTCTTTAATCCGGTTACACAAAAATTGAGACTTACATCACTTTTGGCTTGCTACAACCGAGGAGTTGCACATGGATTGCACCACAGATCCATCTAGTCCATGATTCTGCTGCTGGCAGCAACCAACAGGTGGTATTTGAGGCAAAAGTTACAGGAAAAATATTAGTTCATCTGCCTGATACTGAAATTCCATCCTGCTGGCCACAGGAGATCAGTATATAATTCAGGGCACAAAGTTTAATCACACAAATCACTCTTTACTCTGCAGAGCTATAAAGAGACAGCAGAGCTCCCTGAAGTCAGTTGAGTCAAGTGAAATCTTCAGCATACTGGATTTGCTCAGCACTTTGGGAAGTTGAAAAGTTTTTTAAAAAACAGAGCCAGCAGCAGAAGATCTGCTGTGAAATCATGATGCCATGAAATCATCAGGCCAACTGTGTGCCAGTTCGTGACACCTCTCCAGGAGCTGCTTGTCCTTTTTAGCACTAGTACGTGGAGGTTCAAAGAAGTCCAGAGAGCCTGCTTGTATAGGGAGGTGCTGGCAAGGGCCGTGGTCCTGGGTGACTGCTGGCGTTCATGGCTGCTTCACAAGAATTAGGGATACAGGTGGTCTCACCACCTGCAAGTCCCTGCCAGCAGCACGGGCTGGGTGCTGCTTGTGAAAATTTAGAGAAGCTGTAATCATGGTGAATCTTTACCAGTGCACACTCAGCACCAGAGGTGCAGACACCAGTTGCTCATGGACAAGAGCCATCTATAAAAAAGATTAATTTAAAATGTGTGTCTAAACATTTGCAGGCTCTAAAGCTCAGAGTAATGCTTGAAAAAATCCGATCCCACTGAAGCCAACGTTGTGTTTATGGGTGAAATTGTTTTGTGATTGTGTTGGTGGTGCTGCAGAGCACTGGTGCCATTCATTACTCAGCTGGACACATCAGTTCAGTTTTTATTTTCTGTTGTATTAAGGTTGTAGTAACATTCATAGCTAGTTGGTAGGAATGCAGTCAGAGCCTTCTAAAAACACACTTCTACATGGATTTGGCAAAAATTCTTTATGCATATTCAGGAAGTCATTCCCATTTCTGAATTTCCAAATCTCCTGGCTTCTGTGTCTGGGCCTAATCCTACATTTAGTAAGGGTTAATTTACAGAGATATAGCTTTTATTGCCAGTGTTAATCTGGTCATGAAATCCCATGTTAGCTAGTCCCTCTCTCAAACATTGCCCAGCTTGTTTCTTCTGATTTTCAAAAACCTGTTTCAGTTTATAAGCATCCTTGGGTTAGTGCTCATCTACATAAAATCTTAATAAAACTAATACAGGCAAGTCTTTTTTTACTGGTAAAAGCCAAGCTTGTCTGCAGTGCTTTTGAAAAAAAAGTTATACAAGAGGGCTTTCCTTTAAATAATACTCCAGTGATTTTCAAGAACCTTATCCAAGACATTTTCCAGGATGTATCATTATCATGCAGCACAGTGTGCGTATCCCAAAGATGCAGCCAAGAGAAAGAATACAAGGGCATGCAGAGCTGCCATCCTTTTTATTTGAGTATGTTTTTACAGCTCTTCAGAAGGTCCCTGTTAGCACTAGTCTGTTTTATCCAGGCACGCTACTTACTGCCTGGATATAAACTGAACTACCATAATGTGAACAAAAGAACACCTGCTATAGAGAAATAAATGTCTTGCCAAGAAGGGAAGAAAAAGTTGTTAGCTCTTAATCCTTTAAGTATTTCAGAGTGCAAAGTGAAGGGATGATGACCTGCTTATTAGACCTCTGGCAAGGTCTGGCTGTTAGCCTAGTGCTAACAGTGGTTTTCTGAAGAATAAGCTGTGTCTGTCTGCCCCAGCACAGCATCTGGCCCACTGGATTTAGAAGCTTGGAAACTATGAAGTGATAATATCATTAAAAATATGACATATGAAAGCAGCAGTACAGGACGAGATAGATTAAGTCTTTGCAAGAGTTTTACTTCTGAGGAAACTTTCCCCCCGTGTTTCCAGGCTGAGTACATAAACGGCAGGATGTTTGTTTTTCACTGGGAGCTCTCAGAGCGCCCGCAGAGTGGTGAGGGAAAGCAGCCTGGAGCTCGTCACACTTCATTAGCAGTTCAGTTCAGCACAAACCTGGCTCTTGTTCGGTGGGTCGGAGCGCCGCAGCCCGGCCCGGCTCACTGCCCCTGTCCTCTGCCATCGGGAGTGCTGGCTGGGCGGGGCTCCCCTCACCTGCAGGGTCCAAAGGCAACCCTCACCAGCAGGGCTGGGCTGCCTGCTTGGCAGCAGCGGCCAACTCAGCGACCTAGAAAGAGAAAAATGAGGCTTCAGTTACACGGCTGTTCTTAAAAGGTTTGAACTGAAGATGCAGAACCTTGGATTTGGCTCCAAAGTTCAGTGACATCTGAGTTCAGTGTTTTGTTTCAGAAGATATTGCCTAGAGCCTTCAGCCTTAAAAGTCCCGGTATGGATGCAAAACAACATCTACAGTTTGGATCCATCTTTGGGTTTTGGTCCCTGTGATTCCTTCCAATCTCAATGTGATGGCCTAGAGGTATCTGCATCAAACTTAGCAATATAAGAGATTTTTCTGTGGAAAGTAGAAAACCACACCACACCGTCATGCTAAAAACCCCCATTTATACCTGACTTTTGCCATGTGGGAATTTGGAGGGGGAAGTTTGTTGTAGACCATGATTCTACTGACAGTGCCCACTTATTATTAGTGAAAACTCTTAGGTTTGCATCCAGAAGCATGTTCATGCTTCCAGTAACATCATAAACCAGGTGCTAGAGATAATACAGTAGAGGAAATACCAGTGGCTTGACATATGAGGTGTTTAACAGTCCACCACTGAAATTCTTCACACTTGAGTTTGAAATGGGAATGTATCACAGTACAAAAGCCTGTTTTCCACTTTCTTCCCTTCTGCTGGTGTGAGATCCTGTAACGTGAAGGTATTTCCTCAGGAAGGCAAGCAAGGATAAATGGGACAGAGCAGCTTTGCAAAAAAGCTCTGCAGCATCACGGATGTCTGGCTACAAAAGAACTGCTCAGATTTTTCTGTGAGGAAAACAAATTCCTTTAAATGACAAAGAACCTATATTATATGGTCATTGGAAAAAAAAACAGAAATGTATTTTTTCTTTGACTATAGGATAATCAAATCTGTGTTTGGCTAAAGTTGTGATTCCAAATTTGGTTTAGCCTGATCAACTGGTGATATTTCTGAAATGAGCAGCTCCTTTCTAGCCTTATCTACAGCTGCTTGTTCACACTGGGTTGTTTGTGTAGGCCTCTGTGTATCTGTGGCAAGACAGCAGAAGGACCAAAATCCAGCTTTTAGTGAAATTACTCTTCAGTTGGATGAAGTCCCTGTTCAGTCCTGGGACTGTAGAAACCTAAGGATGGGCACAGGGGCTGAGGGAGAGCCAGGCTGTCTGGTTCAGCTAGTGCACGTTTTGTTGACTGAAGTGACGGTGCGATCACAGCTCGAGGCAGACGTGTGCTGCCTCTTCCACAGCTAAAACCTCCCCTCTCTGAGACCACCTGGAAAGATGAAAAGCTAACACTCTGCTACCCAGGGAGGTGGTACAAACCCTGGGAGACAATTTGGGAATCACTTTGAATCTCTGGTGGTTTTCAGAGTTGGTTATTTTGGAACTGCTGTGGGAAGGGAGGCATTGTATGCCCAGGAGTTTGTATAATCTCATAAATAATTATACTGATGACAGGTATTTTATTGATTTTTCTTATGTAGTTGCCCCATGTCACCTACTGTGTGGTGGTCCTATCCTGATGGCAAGTACACTATTTTTCTTGGCAAAGACAACAAAAACATATAAATGTTTGTGGTGAACTCACATAATAATAATGTTTTCCAGGTAAATATATCTAATTTTAGAGATACTAATGGACCTTTATTATTTGCTTCCCTGTAGAATTTCGTATGATCCCACAAGGTATCCAAAATACATTCCTGAGGCGTACTGCCTGTGCAAAGGCTGCCTGGTGGGGGCCTTTGGGGAGGAGAGCTTTCGCTTCCGCAGCACCCCCGTGTACATGCCGACCGTCGTCCTCCGGCGCACGCCCTCCTGCGCTGGCGGCCGCTACCTCTACACGGAGCACTACGTCACTGTCCCCGTGGGCTGCACCTGTGTGCCCGAGCCAGAAAAAGAGGCAGAAAGCGTCAATTCCAGCATAGATAAGCAGGAAATGAAGTTGCTGGTCAGCCAGGACAAGCCGTCGTCAGAATGAAGGAAGTAGAAACACTCGTGTTAGAGTACTGGCTTCACAGCATCACTGTCATCATTTCACCACCTCAGGAAACTGCACCACAGCAGCAAACTCATTGACTTACTCTCTCTTTCTACTTACAGTTATTTCAGTTGCAAGATGGAAAGTTTTGTCCAGTCACTCAAATCATTAGAGGTGACAAGCCATATTAAGAACTTTGGTTCATATAAGTATTTGTTGCAAATTCCAAAGTAGCTGCCTTTTTTTTTTTTTTTTTCTTACAGCAGATCATTTTGTCCTTGCTTATTCACAGTAAATTTTTAGAAGGTGATGCAACTGTAAGACACATTAGCTATTACTATAGCAGACTACTGGTTGTAGATATTTTTAAGGAATCTGTTATACCCTGCTTTTAAATACCCCTATATCGAAACCATGTAGCTGCTACACAAGTGCCAAAGCAGGAGTTCAAGGGTGATCTCTCAGGCTGGGAGAGCCCTCCTTCGCACTGCGTATCTCAGCACCAAGCAGTGTTCCTGGCTGGTACATCTTTGGCTATCTATACACAACAGCAAGGAAACCTTCGCCGAGTTTGTCATTCATGAAACAATATTCTATGAGATTGCTATTTCTTAAGCTTGCCAAATTGCTAAGGGTACAAAAGTGCTGAGAAAAAGCAAGCTAGACTATTGTAAAACTGCAGAGGACTTTTCTGATGTGGACTATACCTAATTACACAGAACACATCAATGGGAAGAACCTCAGTTTGAGTCCCAAGAATTCTGTATTAGATTTCATCCATCATTAAGCATCTCAAAATCAGGCTTAATTCACAGTGGAGGAAGTCCTTACAATACACAAACACATCCTCCTTTGGAGTGGTGCTGGATGAAGAATGGAGAAACCATGAGCTAATCAGAATTAACAGAATGAAAATCATACTACAGCACCCTGTCTTGGTGCCTGATTGTGCTCTTTATGACTCAGTCTAGCATAACAGTATTTTTATCGTGCAATCTGTATAGCTTCTTACAAAACCTAAAACAACTTTAAGAACTCTAGGAACAAATAAAATATTCCCATCACAATGTCACATTGAAGTTTGTAACTGTGTTTCTTGTGTAAATGTCTTTCTACAATTCTACTTGGCTTTAGATCCACATTTTCTCAAATTGTGATGATTCTTTCTCAAGGGGATTCTCGAAAGAGAGTTAAAAGAAGGTCTTAGTGCCTCCACTAGTCAGAGAACAGCTAATTGCCTAGCTGCTGCCAGCAATTAAAGGTCCTTACTTGCTCCCTGGAGAATGAAAATGCTTGAAGCAATTACATCCACATTTCCTTCCTCCTAATGTGGAAGAACTCACCCTCTGAGAAGAGGGAAATGGTAATCAATGACAGAGAAGCTCAAAAGGGAAGCAGACCCACAAAACTGGAGAAACACTGCATTAGATGATGCTTCAGCAGTCTAACTTCTTACAGTTTCACTATTAAGTTGTGGGGGTTTTCTCCACGTGTACACTTCAAACGGTGAAATTGGACCTTTAGATTCCACAGCATAGGAAGCAAAGTCTTCACAGTAAAAGGCAGTAAAAAAATCCAAACAACAACAACAAAAAAGTCAAACCACACAACTCCTAACAGGTAGCAAATGTCCAGAAGGGCTGCCAGCTGAAGCTCTGGCTGAACACTGCCCTCCAGCAAAAAGCGTTTCTCTGCCCACACACTTCTGGTATACAAATTTATCTGCATAAAATTGGTTACTACAGCTCATGGACTTGTTCCCATGATGTAGAGGGAAAAAAAAAAAATCACTTTTTGTTGCAGTTCTTGTCCTGCAGATATAAATTATGGAGTCATTTTGGGGTTTTCGAGTGACTAATGTTCTGGTAATTCCTGGAAGTTGCAGGCTAAAATCAGGTAAATGGAACATAACTGGTTTTGCCAATCCAGAAAAACATGCTTTAGTTTATGTGTAGCGTCAGGAATTGGATGGCTGAAAGTACTGAAGAACTGCAAAACCCCAGTGGATCAATAGGTTATGTAAGGTGGTGACCTTCTTGTCACACTGTAACAAGTGCAGAAAGCTTCCTGTGGTTGCAAGCAACCTGCTGTGACCTTACTCAGAGGCCCGTTTTTTTTTTTTTAATCCTCATCCTCTTCTGGGACAGACTTCTTAGCTGAAGCAGTGTGCTTCCCAATCCAGCTTTCCAGTGAGGTGTCTCTTAAAAGCCGTGTTTGTGTTTTAGTGTGAGCAACTGCCTGATAACAATTAATTAGTGAATGACTGCTTGTTAACACTTAACAAGAAGAACTCTTAACTACACAAACATTTGTTAACCTTCAAAGTATCCTTCCGTATATAAAACCTTTCCACACTACTCCTGTGGAAAGAGTTGAGTAGTAAATGTAGTTTGTGTTTGTTTGGAATCCTTTATTTTTTTAAAGAGATCATCACATCATGGATTTATATCAGTTTCTCTTCAGCCACTGTGTGACATTTTCCAGCTCCAGGCCCTCTGCTTACAGCTGCTGCAGCCTTGCCTTTCATTTGCTTGGGGGGAGGGAAGGTTCACTGGACTTGCTTCAAGCCTTCACAAACTGTTGACACAAGGCAGACGTGAAATGCCTCACTGAACCAACTCCAGGCCCAATAAATGCAAACAATTCAAAGCCGAAACTATCTGGCAGCTGCAGCTGATTTGAGAAAATTTTTTTTGTGCCAGGAAAATCTTTTCCTTCAATGAGGTTGTCCCTGGAATACATTAGGAGCCACAAAACACAGAACAATATCCTTGGAAAAGAGATTATTTTCTTCTCTGTAGTATCACTTAAGGAAGGCTGGAAAATGTGTATCATTCAGAAAAGCCTGAGATGCTAGTTTTGGTTTATAACCAGTCATTCCATGAAGGTGTTTGAACAGGCAAAGGTCTACAGCCGTGCCTGACGCCGCAGCCAAGAGACCACGGCACCGACGACTCTATGGTCAGAAACGCCACCGGAGAAGTAGCACAGTGACCCACAGCGTGTTCCAACAGACACCACAGTAAAGAAAGCCAGTCATCACTATGTCTACCTCCTGTCACAGGCTCTGAATGCCACTAGCCAACCTCTGCTTGGGCGGCTGCCTGCGCTCACCAGGCTGTTAAGAAGGAAGCTGGTGAACAACGGGCTGCTCTGTTGAGTGCATCTACAGATTTACCCTCGTTTTCATAATGGTGCATCTTCACAGGGCCT